ACAAGTCAGAGAGGAAAAAATGTTTGCAAATCACATATCTAATAAAGGACTTATAGCCCAAAACATATACAAAACTCTCAAAAGTTAACATCAAGAAAACAAAACTCATTAATTTTTTTTTAAATGGGCAAAAGTCTTGAACAGACACTTCACCAAAGAAGATATACAGATGGCAAATAAGCACATGAAGAGATGATCAGTGTCATTAGCCATGAGGTAAATTGCAAATATAAAAACCACAAGATACTACTACATATTCATTAGAAGAGCTAAAATTTAAAAGACAGACAACAGTAATTGGTGGCAAGAACACGGAGTATCTAGAACTCATATCCACTGTTGGTGGAATGCAAGACAGTACAATCACTTTGGAAAACAGTCCGACAGTTTCTTATAAAAGTTAAATGGGCACCATAAAATCAAGCAATCCCACTTCCAGGTACCTCCCTAAGAGACATGAAAACATGTGTCAACACAAAGATCTGAAAACAAATGTTTACAGTGGCTTTATTCATAATCATCAAAAACTAGAAATAAACCAAACATCCATCAACAGATGAATGTATAAATAAATTGTAGGATATTCATAACATGAAATATTACTCACCAATAAAAAGAAATCAACTGCCAATATATACAACAAGATGAAATCTCAAAAAAAAATCAAGCTAAGTGAAAGAAATCAGACACACACAACCACTTTATTATTCCACTGATATGACATTTAGGTACAAAAATCAGATCAGACACAGCTAAGGACTGGAAGTTTGGAAAGGAACTGCAAAGGGAGATGAGAATTTTTAGAGTGACAGAAATGTTCTATATCTTGATGCAATGATAGTTATATGACTCTATAGTATATTAATTTGTCAAAATGTATTTATATTATAATGTAAATTATACTTCAATAAACCTGAATTTATAAAATTTAAAAATACATACCTTTTGATCTAGACATCCCCTTTCAGAAATCTACTCTACAGAAATAAATGCATCAACATGTATATAAATTAATATACATTAATAGGGAAATGGTAAAATAAAGTATGTTATAGTCAATACTATAGAATAGAATGCAAATAATTAAACAGACCTGGATATAGTCCTCTGAGCATTAAGGTTTGTGAGAACTGAGAGAGCAGTTCTCATCCCACTGATTTGAGCCCTTTGCCCAACTGACGTTAGAAGAATTGGCCCCAACAGGGAAATGAGCCTCTTTTGTTCAATTTATTTGCCACAGTAATAAAGTAAGCCAACCACAGGAATTCCAGTCTACTTTGGAATCCAATGACTGAAATAAGAGGTACAAAACCAAAAGTAACAGCCAATAAAATGACAAGAGTCCTCATGAAGGAATTTTGGAAAGCATCTTGAGTAATGCTGTCCATTTATAATGACCACAGTTCAGGTTGCCTGGAAATACAGAGTTGACTAGATGACTTCACAGCACAAATAAATTTTTTAAAAGTTGACTTCACTTCAGAATCATTCACTATGTTCTACGTACTGTGCAGAATGCTGCACAAATATGATATTCCTTGCCCTCCAGGAGTTTATGTTCTAAACAAAATCCTAGAAAATGTATTGTCCCTTAAGGCTAACTTTGAACTTTTTATTTTCTGTTTTTCATTTGATTATAGTACACGTATTTGCCACAAAACTTCAATATGTAATACCTCAAGGGGTGGAGGAGGTTTCACCAGGCGAGCAGAGAAAAATAAATTCGAAACTATAAAAAGTTATTTAATAGATGTCAAAATTAACCCTTAAAAAGTAGTCTTTGAGTGAATCCATTCATTGTGTACTCAGCAGAACATTTTCAACAAACTTATAGAGCATTATCACATTAAGACTCATGAGAGTACAAACATTTGGAAGACATGATCCCTGTTCTTTTTTTAAAGGCTCCTATCCAACTCCCTCTCATTTATCACTCCTTGAGCAACATGCACAGTGACATTTAACAGTCTCATAATCAAGAAGCTACAGGACAGGATTACATGCACAGGCTGGTGAGTCAGTGTGGAAAAGTACAACATATTCAAAATAGTTCTGTCATTGATGTTCTCCTGGAATTACTCCATCACCTTCCCATAACCTTAGACTTCACGTCAAAAACCAACTAGATTAGGTGAGGCTAACATTATTTCCAGTATCACGTAAATCATTCACTTTAAAATATTAAGACATGTTTAATACCATGCAAAAATACAATCCACTTTTTTAAAAACTATGATATAATGAGGACTACTTCAATAAGATATATGCATTAAAGAATTATTAGTTTCCATTAACTGGGTTGTCATTAAGACTATAGAATTGGCTTCTTTTTTTATTAAATGTTCAAACGACCCTCAAAGCTAAAATTATCATTTGCCCTCATCTGAGGGATGGCTGTTTAAAGAGAGATCATGAGCTGGACTGCAGAATATGCAGGCATGCCTCTCACCTCAACACTGACAGTTACATCACTAAAGATCTAAGAATGAGGGCTTGCTTGTGAGGTGGAGGGCAACAACCATCATTTTTAACATGCTTTTAATAGTTGCCATTTCAATCACTTTATTAATTTCTTACTATACTGACATTTCAATCACTTTTTAAATTTTTTCCTATACTTGACCTTAGTTGCCTGATTTTAAAATAAAGACTATACCACTAACTGATCAGGAAACAATTATGATTCACTGCTACCCATATATATGAAATTCTGTAAATAACTGGGGAGAAAGGTGAGAGGAGAGCAGAAGCATGAAAAAGTTATCTTTCTGAGATTTTGGAGACCCAGTTTCCTCCTCCTATTCCCACATAAATACTTTCATCGCAGATACTTCAAACATTATGCCAGAGTTACAAGAAATAAGTGGAACACCACCAAGCAGAAATCTGAGGGTAGGTGTTCTGAACATGTTGGTAAAGAAAGTCACTTCATCTGAGAGGTCTCTGCCCCTTCAACCTCACCCTCCTTACCAACATACATTCATCACTGAAAAGGGAAATATTTACAAAAGTTAGTTTAGTTATGTTTAAATATTATGTTTAGCTGTCTGGAAACCATGTTCTCAAAATTTATATAAGAAATCAAGGATTAAACTTCATAACAATTAGAAAACCACACTGTGTAAAATCAAAGACTTAGTTAAAGGATATTAAAATAGTTTTACTATTGGTGCTAAAATGAAATGACTCCTTCTCTTCCCAACACCTGGAACCAAAACCTTTTGAACTTTCATGTAAACAAACCAGGGCACACCAAATGCTCTGTCTGCAGTAAGGTACCACCTCTGCACAGGCATTTGGGTGAAAAATGTGGAAAATGCCTGAGGACTCTTTGAAGCAGCTTGGGAGAAGTGAGAGCAGGAAAGAGGCTCTTCTCTAGGGTAAGTTTGTTTAGTAGAAAGTAAGCAAGTTGTCAGGGTAAAAGTTGACAATGTTGATTCCAACAGTTTGAACTGCGAATAAACATCCAAAGGGATTATGTTACTGAGAATTAGAAAAGATTCCATTGAACTCAATAGAGCACTTGTGTTTTCAAAGATAATATGCCTTCAAGCCATACTCTGGATGCACAGTTTAGGGTTAGAATTACCCTAAGCCCTTTCTATGCCACATTAGAGAACACAGGTTCTGACCTTTCTATTACATGCCTTAAAATACTAGAATAAAAATAGTTTAAAATATTTCATTTCCAATAACTGAATTGTAAAATACGAAATACACATACATTTGTACACTTGAGACTTAAGAAATTTGGAGAAAAATTTGTTCTTCCCAAACATCTAAACTTGAACACAGTTTCACTAATCAATTTGGGATTTACTAGACATAAATCACTTTTAAGTTTTCCCTCCTTAATGACCTACCAGAGAACAAAAAATAGGGCCTATAAGGGGCCTATACTTATGAAATCCATAATCCTCTTCTCTGTTCACCAAAGCCACATTTAAATCTGGCTTTCATCTTATGCTGTTGGAACTTCTACCAGGTATGAGATGAAAAGTTGGAAGAGACTTGTGTTTTTTCAAAAGCAAAACAATCTGATTGCCACTCAGCAATTCCTGGTGAAATACTAGGAAGCCTGTAGAAAAAGTTAAAATTTTCCTAACTTGGAGTTTACAAAAATAAGTGTGAGATGTTCAAAACCTGTCAAACATTCCATCTCTTTTATTTTTTTAGTATTCATAAACAAGGGAAAGTGCACACTTTCGATTTGTTAAGGTTTATTTGAATCAATATAATGCAGATCTGCCTTGCATGCCCGTAAGAAAATAGTTAACTTGGACTGTTCTTAGTTCATCTCAAGTTCTTCATGAGTCTTACATTAGAGTCTGCTATGAGACTCTTTTCCAAAACTTGACAAAAGCACACAACTTGCATGCCCTTTACCAGCAAAGTCTGCAGCAGCCCTGCAAAAAGTTTCTCCTTTGAGCTCTCACATATATTCACTTCCCTTCTAAAACCAACAATGTCAGGGCATGTGGCTCAGTCTCATAGCCTCTTTGCTCTTAAAAAGAAAATCAAATTCCCTAGATATTTTCAAACTCCACCAAGAATAGAACATTCTCAGCTCTGCCTGTGGATCATTATCTCTTTTACATTTCATCTTTATATTCACTGGGTTCATAGAAAGGGCATACACAGAAAGAGGAAAATAGCTGCTTCTTAGACACCAAATTTAGTAATTCTCTCAACTCTACTGGCACACATCTAAAAAGTCATATTTTTACAAGGCTTCAATAGGTTTTCATTGGTTCTCTCTTATGAGAACACACATGCTGAATTGCCCATAACCTCAAGCCAAAATACATCTACAAAATATAATACATTTTTATATGAATACAAGAGTCATCACAATTTAAAAAGGGATATGGTGGGTAGAGACAGATAGATGTAGGCTCATCTGAATCCCGTTTTAGTGCCTCCTAAGCATCAAGCTGCTAACTGATGGAGACCATCAATCTACAGTGCTCTAAGATTCCAGCTGACTCCAACAGCCTTACCTGTTAATATGAGATTACTGTAAGTATTGGAGAATTGCTCCTTTAAAAGAACCAGATGCATCTGAGCTGCCTTCTCCCGTTGGAGCTCCAGCATAACATCAGGGTGCTGGGCAATCTTGCAGCCTTTCTGTTTATCCAAGGCAACATCACTTCGAACAATGTCTACAAAAAGAAAGAAAGAAGACAGGCAGCAAAAAACAGAAACAAAACAAAAACCATATACACATCAAAGTCCTGTTTTACCGAATATGACAGAATTTTATAAACTACCAGCATTTTCATTAGAATAAAGAGATTGAGAAGTAATAAACCTGAAGGTGACACATCCTACACGTTTTTCTGGTCATTTCCAAATTCTTTGGAGACTTCTGTTTCTTAAGCATTCTCTGACCTCATTTAAAATTCTCACTCCTCCACTCCCCTTCTCAGCTCACCTTCAGGACTTATTTACTTCCTGGTGCCTTTTCTTAACATCTTTTACCACGGGGGAAAATAATACAACTTTGCCTAATAATAGTGACTATGAAGGTCATTTCCTGTACTTCAGGCTGTAGGACTCAGTGATAGTTCCAGTGTGTGTATTCAGGACACTTGGCCAGGAAGTAAGCGGTAGATTTTCTGATTCTTAAATTAAAAATTGGAATGAAGTCAAGAATATATTCAAGTTTTTAAGAGCATCAATAGAAAGCAAGAGGACTAATAAGTCATTTACATTTATTTAAATTACACTCTATAAAATCTTTTCACACTGTATCACTGAATCCTTCCAATAATCTATGAAAGTTATGTGGCAGACATTATTAACTAGCTGTCCCAAATCCTAAACACAATCTCTTCTCCTTTGCCTTCTTCTACTATAGAGACTGAAAAGCTAAAATACACAATTCCTGAGTTTTTCTTGAAGTAAGAGGTGGCCATGTAACATAGTTCTGGTCAATACGCTGCAGACACATATCACTAGGGGTACTTCCCTGGCCAAATTAAAAGACAAAACTTCAGTAAGAGAAAAATCAGTTTTTTCTTCCTTCAGTCTTTCAGTCCTTTCTATTCTTTATGCCTGAAACATAAACAACAACAACAAAAATCCAGCAAGAAGTGGGCAGAAGACCTAAACAAACAATTCTCCATTGAAGACATACAAACGGCCAATAGGCACATGAAAAAATGCTCAATATCACTAATTATCAGAGAAATGCAAATCAAAACTACAATGAGGTATCATCAGTCAGAATGGCCATTATTAAAAAGTCCACAAATGATAAATGCTGGAGAGGTTGTGGAGAAAAGGGAACCCTCCTTCACTTGGTGGGAATGTAGTCTGGTGTAGCCATTATGGAAAACAGAATGGGAGATTCCTCAAAAAACTAAAAATAGACTTACTATATGATCCAAAAATCCCACTCCTGGGCATATATCCAGCGGGGATCTTAATTCAGAAAGACACACACACCCCAATCTTCATAGCAGCACTATTTATAATAGCCAAGACATGGAAACAACCTAAATGTCCAACGACAGATGACTGGATAAAGAAATTGTGGTATACTTATACAATGGAATACTACTCCACTATAAAAAATAATCAAATAATGCCCTTTGCAGCAACATGGATGAACCTGGAGAATGGGAAGTAAGCCAGAAAGAGAAAGAAAAATACCATATTATATCACTTATGCATGGAATCTAAAAAAAAAAAAGACAAATAAACTTAGTTACAAAACAGAAATCGATTCATAGACATAGAAAACAAACTTACGGTTACCAGGGTGGGGGAAGAGAGTGGGAAGGGATAAATTAGGAGTTTGAGATTTGCAGATACTAATTAATATATATAAAATAGATAAACAATAAGTTTTACTGTATAACACAGGGAACCATATTCAATATCTCATAGTAACCTATGGTGAAGAAGAATATGGGAATGAATGTGTGTATGTTCTTATGTGACTGAAGTATTGTGCTGTACACCAGAAATTGATATAACACTGTAAACTGACTATACTTTAATAAAAATATATTTCAAAAAAATAATGAAAGGAAAAAGGAAAAGATGGGAGAGCACCCTGAAAGATACTATAATACTGAAAGGATCCAGGCTATACAGGTTTTAGCTAAAGCCTATCCATATGAAATAAACACATGACGAAGTCATCTACTTCCATGGCACAGGCCAGTAAAATATCCTAAGATTCTAAAAACAAAACAAAACAAAACACCTAGGTTCAAATTCTGGCACAGAGGTCACTTATTAGTTATAGAAGTGACAGACAAAAGCACCCCTGTAAGCCTTAATTTCTTCCTCTACTGTTACTGTAGAGATGTAGAAGACTTAGCACTCTACATGTCACATAAGACCTCTATAAAGGGTAGGTATTATTATTGTTATTAGTATACTACTTGTGGTATTATTTACTTCTAGCTATAATAGTCTCAGCAGTATACTAATCATCTAGAGTGCAACCAAAGAAAACTACCAAGATGGTAAATAATTTTATTTTTTTAACAGCTGAAAAAAACTGAGAGTGTTGAACCTGGCAAAGAAAAAACTAACAAATACTCATTTTCATACATAGGAGACTTATTTCATACATAAGAGACATATATAAGAAAGCCAAACATTATGGGAGTAACCAAAAGACATACAATCCAGTTACACATAAGTAAACTGTAACAATAGAAACTGTCCTATAAGGAAAAGAGGATGGAGTGAGTTTCTTGTCTCTGGAAATATTCAAGAAGAGGCTGGATAATATATGCACAATAAAATGATTTCAGTATAGTCGTTAAAGCCTGCCAAGTACAGGGTTAAGTATTTTCAGTGACATCACATGAGGCAATATAACAGATAGTTAAAGGCACAGACTTTGAATTCAAATAGATAAAATTTTGGATTCCCACTCTACTACTTACTACCTGAGAGCTCTTGGACAAATCACTAAATCTCCCCTTTCTTAATTTTTAAAATGAAAATACTAATAACATATTTGTAGTGTGCTTACACTGCAATAGGAACATACTAGATGTTCAACAAGTTCTGGTTGTTTTAGTGATTGTTAATAATTATAATAATATCACAGAGTTAATATTGGAGGATAGTATTATTCTTTTAGGTCATTTTTAACTCAAGGATTTTATAGCTCTATAAAGATTATGCTTTTGTAGGTTCTTTGCCAGACATAACAGAAAGAAGTAAGATTCAAAGTCAGAAGACTTAGGTATGAATTTCAACTAATTTACCAAATAATCATGAAACTAGAGACTAAAAACTTTATATACTTGTGCACCAGTTTTTTTTTCAGGTCTACCAAACTGAGAAGTTAATAGAGCAGATGATCTCTAAATCTGTACTTTTCCTCTACTAGTTCTCCTCTTCTTATTGATATTCCTAGTTGTTATAAGCCTAATATCAAGATATTTATATGTCATCTCATCTCCCCCATGATATTTACCATGACAACGTTCAAGAATGTCAAAAGACCCAATACATGCCCTCCCTGAAGGAGGAAACAAGGGAGAGAGCATCTTGCATGAAAGCTGATACACTAACATCAAGTTATTGCCCATCATTACTTCTGGATATACAAGAGTATGGCAGTGTTTGTATTTTTGTCCCTGCTTCTTTCTGCCATATGTATTTCTCCATCCTTCAACCAATTATAACCCACAATTCTGCTAGCCAAAGGTTATAGTTCCAACTGGGGCAAGTAGCAGACTGGCAAACCAGTCAAAAATTTTAAAGAGATCTTAGAACTTTGAAAGAAATAAAAATGAGCTCTTTATAAGCTTTCCACAAATCCTTGGCTAACTAGAAGGTTGTGTGCACATGCACAGGAGACTCAGCGTAAGGTTTTTTACACAAAACTGGCTAAGGAGAACCCCCAAGAGGCTGTGAGTAAAGTAAAAGGCGAGGCAGACTAAAATTTACCACAAAACTGAACATTTTTACCAATCTACACAGAAATTCATCAGCAAAGAGAGAAAATAGCCTTAAGGATTCATAGTGTCATCTGATGAGGGATGCTGAGGTTAGGGAAGTATATATGTGTGGGTGGGAGGGCTATGTGAGAACTCTCTGTTGTATTTTCTGCTCAATTCTATTGTGAACCTGAAACTGCTCTAAAAGAATGAAGTCTATCAAATTTTTTTTAATTTTAAAAAAATAAAAATAAAAAAAATTTTAAAAAGGATTCGAAGTGTTTTAAACACAACTTCTGAACAATCACTGGCTGATCACTAAGCTATAATACTCAGAGGCAAACCCTAGGAGGTCAATGTGAAAAAAATTAATTTTTAAAACTGAGAAGAAGCATCAGTACCATTATGAGATAGAAACACTAAATCTAAATAACTTACTTTATAAAAAGGAAAAACAAAAGCAATTCTCATGGGGAAAAAAAAAGACTGCAGATTGGCTGTGATATATCTAAAATGTTCAATTTCCAACAAGAAATTACAAGTCATGCAAAAAACAGGAAAGTGTGACCAAGACTCAAGAACAAAAGTAGTCAATAGAATTAACTCTATATGTGCCCAGCAAAGACTTCAAAGAATAGATTATAAACATGTTTATAAAAATTAAAAGAAATCATGTTTAAATAATTTTTTAAAAACCTGATGACTCAATAAATAGCGGACTGAAATAAAGAAATATAAACTTTGAAAAAGAACCACATGGATATTCCAGAGTTTAAAAGTATAGCAACTGAAATGAAAAATGCACTAGATAACCTTACAGCAGATTTGAGAAGGTAAGAGAAAGAATCAGAGTATGTGAATACAGATGAATATAAACGACCCAACATGAAAAGTAGAGAGAAAAAATCAAGGAAAAATGAGCAGAAACTCAGAGAATTATGGGACAAAATGAAGGAATCCAAAGATGGATGATGGGAGTGTAGCAACAAGAGGAGAAAGAAAGAGAAGAAAATTACTGGGAAAAAAAAATCAAAAAATTCTGAATTTGATGAAATTATTAATCTACAGATTACAAGAACTACAACAAACAAAAAGGATCATTACAAAGGGATCTATACCTAGACATATCACAGTAAAGTTGCGGAAAGCCTGAGATAAAAAGAAAATTTTAAAAGCAGGAAGGAAAACTCAACTCAAAAGGGGAGTCAGCAATACAATTAATGGTTAACTTCTAATCTGAAACAATG